AAAAAAAAAAAAGACCCAGAGTAGAAAATCCAGTTGTATCCAGAGTGCAAGGCTGTAGGCGGTCAGTGACCACAAATGCTGATGAGCAGAGGCTACAAAACCAAAGAAAGTTCCCAAATTCCCGTATTTGTTTTGCAGGCTGCTGGTTTGCCATACTCACCCTTCCTTCCTCCTCCTCCGAGCCATCCCCCTCTTCCTCAGATGAGTCACTGCCCTAAGAAGAAGAAAAACCAAGTTGGAGGCGGGTGGGTGGGTGTCACAAGTACAGTGTTCTGTGCTCAGACCCATAGGCCAGTGGCAACAGGGCACAGAGCACATTCCCATCTCATTTGGGCCAAAATTTCTGGATTTGGAGCAGCAGCAGCAGCCCCTCAGGAACACCCACCTGGTACCGTCGCTGTGGGGGATACACGTAGATGTATCTGTACAGGTAGTGCCGGTGCCGGTTCTTGAACACCTRCCAGGAGAAGGAGGGGGAAAATCCCATCAGTCTGGGGGCTTGGGTACAGGGGACACAAAAATGTGCTCTTCCTCAAGACCAGCCCCATGTGGGACTGGGCACAGGGGGTGGAGGGAGACCCTACCGCATTTTCTTCCAAGTTGTCCAACTTGGGTCGCCGCAGCCAGCTCTTGACCTGGGGAAAAGGATGGGTTGGTGTGAGCCCCACACCAGCCCCAGTGAGGCTGAGGGTCCCCCCCTCACCCTGGCACTCACCGAGAAGGCRCACGCCATCCCCACCAGGCAGATGAAGATCAGGACACTCCTCATGGCTGCTTTCTCTAGGAACAGYGAAACACCTTGAGAGCTCACTTTCAGCTAGAAAGCACAGACACTGCTTCAAACCATCCACATGTGTGTGCCCACGTGAGTGAGCAGGGAGAAAAAGGGTTGACCTCCAGCTACTTCTTGGTGGGGTTACCTAACCCCTCCATAAACCCTATTCCTTCTTTCCTTTTTTTTTTTTTTTTTTTTTTTTTTTTTTTTTTTTTTTTTTTTTTTTTTTTTTTTTTTTTTTTTTTTTTTTTTTTTTTTTTTTAAAGATCTGCCTCAATTTTCATGAATACATTTTGGTTTTTCTAGAAACCACAAAATACCAGAAAAGGGAGTTTCACCATGTAGTGGACTCTCTGCTTTCCTGGAGCATGACTACTCACTCTTGCTTCCCCATTGCCTTTGGGGGAGGGCAGAAAGCCAAACCCCACTGGAGATATGGCAAGAGCAGCACTGCCCCCTGTGTCCAGCCTCCCACAGCTCCCAGACCTGCTTGGGCTCTGCTCCTGGGAATTACGCCCCAGACAGTTTAACCTCACTGAGAAAAAACAARCAAGCAARCAAATAATGGAAATAATTGGCTTCTGCAGCCTGCCATTGGCAAAAAACAGCRGTGACAAGGCACCAATGCAAAGAGCCCCCTGCAGGCGTATCTAGAGGGGACTTGGCTTTGGGCAGGTCAGAGCTGCTCACCCGAACCACCAAAACACAGCCTGCTCTCCTTCATCAAGTAGCAAGGAGCACACCCAATCCTTCCAGCAGCACCCCWGCTTTCCCCCAGGGAGGGATGCTCCCAGTATCCCCCTGAACTCAGTCAGGCCCTCTCATCTTCCTTTTTCCTACCCTTCCTCTGACTAAACCCAACATCAGCTGTGGAGTTGTTATCACATTTATCTGTGCTTGAATTTTCCCTATTTTTACTTAACTCAGGCTGGAAAGCAAGCGTCCACAAGTTTCCTTAACCACGCAGCAAGGCTCTGGATGCTCATCCCAGCCACCCAGCGCTTCATGAAGCTACACACCCAGGAAAGGACTAAGAGCAGCACCCAGACCTGCAAGCCCAGCCAGCTGAGCCSCCAATCTCCCTGCAAAGAGCAGACAGCAATGCACAACCCAAGTGGGAGAAGCAGCAGCGAGCTTACCCTGCCCCAGCACCCGGAGCTACCCACGGAGTCAGCCGGCACAGATTTCCTCCCGCTGCTGCCCTGCTGGGATATAAGGTCTGGCTTTGCCCCCCCCAAGCCAGTCACCGCCCTGCCCAGAGTGACGCCAGCCCTCCGGCGTGCACCAGAAAACCCCCAAAACTTCAACGCTGGCAGATTTGGTGCACAAACATAGCGCCCCGTGCCGCTGCCAAACCCGGCGAGGTTTGTGCTGAGCCGCTTAATTGAGGGTCTGGCCTCAGATGAACGGCCGGGAGGCTGAGGGTATAATAACACTCTGGGTTTTAATTAAAATAAATATTGGGAAATCTGTTCCTGGGGGGTGTCCACCTCCCTTTTTGGGAAATTCTGTCACTGTTTTTTCAAGTAGACAAAAAGACCAACCTCAAAGGCCTGGCTGCACAGCCACTTGGGCAGAGCCGTTAGACCAAAAAAAAAAAGCTAAATCCAAACAAATCCCTCTCCAGAATGCYTGCAGAGGCCTTGGTAAGGGCAGGGAAAGAAAAGGGGACTCAGATACAGGTGTCATCAGTGGCCCTTTGAGAGCCATTTCTGCCACAGTGTTGCTACAAAACGTATGTCTGCTTTGTTTCTAATGCCTTGCAAACTACACAGACCCACAGAGGGCCAGCCCAGTCCCCAGCTCTCCAAAATCAGGCATTGCTCAGCTGAAATCTGTGTATGTTCCCAGCAAAGCAGAGTAACTGCTGGATTTGGGGGGAAGCGGAAAAAAACCCACCCACATGTCCACTCAAATTTCACTGGGGACCTTGGTGGCAGGAAACAGCAAGCGGATGCTGCCCCGGCACCCACCTCTGCAGGGACATCATTTCTCCTTTACCTATATTTATAATTTCCTGCTTGGATTTCAGCCAACCAGCTCTCCAGTGCTACCAGCTCTCTCTGCTACCTCTTTCCCAGATTTTTCTTGCACTCCTCAGCAAAGGCCCTTGAGGTCCTGCACATCCTTGGCTGCAGCAGGTTTGGGAATGACACCTCACAGAATGCAGCTTTGCTTCCCACAGCAGTGAGGAGAACTGCAAATCCCACCTGATGCCTTCAGCCCTGCAGTTCTAAGAGAGGGAACAGAGGTGCTGAAAAATAAATGCCTTCAGGAAGGTCTGAAATGCTCAGGTTAGCCAGTGGTAAAACTGTGGTTACTGAAGACAGAAAAATCCACTTTGCCATGAAAGACCTGAACATTCATGYTTCCTCTCAAAACTGGGGGCAGAAACAGCCTCACCTACATGCAGGGGAGCACAGCTCTGACAGGTACATGATGGGGAGTTGGTAATAGCTGATGGAACACAACATACATAACTTGTTTCTGGGGAGAGAGAGGTCCCCCATAGCCCTCCAAGGGTCCTACAGCCCTGGCAGCAGCCCATGCCACATGCCCATGGGCTTCAAAGCCCCTTGTGTCACTATGAGGAGCCCTAATTATAAGGGAGGCCTGGAGCTGGTTGTGGTTTTCAGCTGGTGCCTCACGCCAGGAAAACCCACACACAGAGAAAAAAAAAAAAAAAAAAAAAAAGAAAAGAAAAAAGAAAAAAGAAAAAAAACCCCAACAACCCAGCCATGCAGTTCTTCATTGCCAACACAGCAGCCTCTGTTAGAGACCAGCATTATGAGGATTCCCATGTCCACCCAGCTCCAGGAAGCTGGAGCTGCTGGAGGGGCTGTCCTGCTGGGGGTGATGCAGGGGGTTCAGGACAAAGAAAGCCCTGCTTCCCCTTGTCCCCTGCTGTCCTAGGCTGCCTGGCCCAAGAAAACAGTGAGGATGTGCCCAGCTTTGAGCATAAAATTTCATCAGGGCTTGGGAACAGAGAGTCCTGGTGGGAGGCGATTTTTAATGTAATTAAAGGGCTTGTGCTCCRGGCTGCGTAAAAAAAAAGATGGAAAACTGACTATAAAAACACATCTTTCACCCAAGATCCCTAAAAAGCACCAGGATAATTAACGTGTGCCCAAGTGCTTTGTGCAGCCAGCACCTATGTTTAGCTCCTGGAGCGGGTGCTGCCTGGGCAAGCCACCAGCAGCAGCAACTTCACCGGCACTATGCCGGGAGACCAGCAGGGAAGATGGCCAACACATCCAAAACGTTTCCATTTGAAATTTTTTTATTATTATTACTTTTAAAAAGCATCCCATTGCAGGCTTGGAACACTGGTTGTGGTCTTTTAATGCTTTTGCAAGAACTCTGGCTCTCCCAAGGTGGCAGGGCTCGAAGGGATCCCTCCTTTGTCCAAAAGCTTATTAAAAGTAATTGCAGGCTCTGAAAGCTTTATGAAAATGATCTCACCTTGCTGGAAACATAACACAGAACATTTTATCTGCCTCCAAAGGATGGGACTTTGACCAACATGGTCCTGTGGAAGGTGGGATTTGCACCAGCCACTGCCCCCCGCTTTGTGCAGCATCTGGGTGGGCTTGCACCCAGCGAGGGCACCCTGTACGCCTTGGGTGTACTTGCCTGAGTCCCTGGGGACCTCAGGGTCAGAGTGTCCCTGTCTGGCACAGGCTGACATGGCTTCTAGGTCCAAATTTAATTATTATTTTTGCAGGGCGGTAAACGAACAGAGCAGAGTGCTCCTGTCCTGCCCGGGCACACTGYGGGACTGAGGCCACACCGTCCTATTTCCACGCCCTGGAACTATTCTGAAAGGAAACCTCAGGGCCAAAAATAAGTAAAGAAAACAAAACCAGAAGGACACTTTGAGCATGGTGGGGAGAGACCAAGGTGCTGCTGCAGCCAGGGAAAGGGGCACCCCTGCCATGCAGCTCAGATGCCAGGGCACCCCCCAAACRTGTACAGGGGGACCCTGAGGCAGAGCTTGCCCTGGTTTCCACCTCTGCCCATGTGCTGTCAGGGACAGGGGTGTGTGTGCCATGGTCACCTGCTGGGGAGAGAAGTGATGAGCAAGAAGAAGGTGCAAGTGTAAGAACAAGGAATGCTTCTCTTCCCTCTTTCCTCTCAGAGCACAAACACAAATGCAAACTGGCATCATCTGCACATACAGCTTGTTATTCYTCTGCCAGCATTCAATTTTAGAATGAAAGCCTGAGGGAAGAATATCTAAAATGCACCATGTATCAATCTCAGTTATCAGTACACACTTTATATRTTGGCACTTTGCAACTGAATGTTTYRTATGATTTTCCTTTCTCTCTCAGCAGAAACCAGAAAAAGGAAATTAATKCTCTTTACAGGCCTGGCAAAATGCAGGCCAGGAGTAGCTCTGTAATGTGAGCACTTTGAAGCACCCTGAGTTCTGGGAACAAAATCCAGCAAATAACTGAGGCAAGGTTGCAACATTATGGCAAATCCCAGCACTAGCCATCACCCAGACCTTCACACATTTGAGCAATATCTGTGTGTTGGATTTCCTCTGTTTTTTTGCTTGTTTTGGTTTTCTTCAGGAGCGAGAAACASCTCATCAGCCAGAATAAGTTACCAGGTCTGGTCCCACCACTGTTTCCTGCCTCCATCCGCATGTGAGGGCTGTCAAACGCAGCCTCAGGAGAAAAAGCTGAATAAACCCTGCAAAAGGCCCTGTTTTCAGAAGGAGAGCAGGAAGATAGCCTGTGTTCACTGCTGAGGTAACAACCAACAGCCTGGACACACAGCTCAGGAGCTGMGCTCTCTGATCTAAGTTAGATCACTGTCCCTGGACTGTCAGGAATTGGGATGGAGTGGAGGCACACTAGTGGTGGCTGCCTTCCTCCCTTATCTCTGCTCTAACCTGGAGAAAAACCCTGAATCTGGGATTAAAAAGGTGCAGCTTGCAGCAGAGGCAGAGTGTGCTGTATGTGTCAGCCAGAACTGYTGCTTTTGCACTGGTTATTTGTTACCATTCACATACGTGAATGGCAGAAGAGTGATATATGTATCCATATACCTTAGAATCACAGAATGYTTYGGATTGGGGRACCTTAAACCCCTTAAACCTCATCTAATCCCAATCCCCTGCCACTGACAGGGGCACCTCCCACTAGACCAGGTTGCCCAAAGCCCCATTCAAGCTGGCCTAAATACACAGAAAAGTTCATGCCTTCTGCAAAAAATACCTTAACATTCAAGCACTCATTTATTTTTTTTTAAAGATGGCTTTGGAAAACTGTCATGAAACTACTTTTTGCTCTGCAGGTGAAACAACATCAAGTCTAGGACAGAAAGGGCAGGTGCTGCCTCTGCCCCCCAGGAACCCCTGTGTTCAGTAACCTGATACCTTCTGCTAAAACACAACAGCTCATTGCAGCTTTGCATTTCAGGGCGTGAAAACAGGAAAAAAAAACTGAACTGTAAACCACTCACTCACTCTGCAGCTTTAAGGTTTCCATCATGACTTTGAGGAGAGCAATACAGGAGGATTTAAGGTTTCCATCACGAGTTTGGGGGGTGCAGTACGGTTGAATGCTAACACCTGCCCTTTACTTGTACCATTCTGTGGTGCCCAGCTCCTTGGGGCAGTGCTGGGGCGACCACAAAACTCCCAGGACATGGCTGAGCCAGGGATGGGAAAGTTATTTGCCATCAAAGTGCATGGCTGAAAAGGGAGCTGGAAGAAAATATTTCCTYAGAGCGTTCAAAAGATTTGTAACTTTTTGGGGTTTCACTGAGGTCAGAGGCTGTTTTCCCACGTCTGGGATATTTCTTTTGTTCAGATTGATGGCCTCAGCGATTCCGTCAGAGGTTTTTCCTCCCCATTGAAAAGGGCAGAGAAAGGCAATCAGATTCTCGTGGCCCCACTGAGTGCTGGAGAGGAGTGGTTGCCACCACAGATTCCATCACGGGAGGCACAGAAGAGATAATCTCATCAAATMTGAGGGGACCCTACAAGAAAAAGGAAGAGAAACTTCTCAGAAGGGCATGTAGTAAAAACATAGTGGGGGGATGGCTTCAAACTCAGAAAGAGAAGGTTTAGATTTGGTATTAGGARGAATTCTTTACTGTGAGGGTGGTSAGGCACTGGCMCAGGTTGCCCAGAGAAGTTGTAGGTGCCCCATTCCTGGAAGTGTTCAAGACCAGGTTAGATGGGGCTCTGAGAAATCTGGAATAGTGTAAGATRTCCCTGCCCATGGCAGCAGGGTTGGATTGAGATGGTGTTTAAGATCYCTTCCAACCCAGAATAGTCTRTGATTCTATCATRGTTTCTTCCACAGMTATTCCCMTTTTGCTAAGGACAAACACAGGCCAAAAAAAAAGCCCTGCAGCCAGCTGTGGCACTCAGATGACCGTGGCAAGCCCAGGACATTTGTCTGCACTGTCAAAAAAGCCCCTGCTGGATGGAGAGGAGGTCTGCAAGTGCAGGGGTCTCTTTGTTTCCCCCACCAAACCAAGAAAAGAAGGGGGTTGAATCTGTGCACCTTGTGTGCCATGGGTGCCCCACGTTCAGCTGTCACAGCCACGCTCAGCACTGCTGCCTCCCACCACTTCAGCCACACCAGATACTTATTAAAAATAGAATTTTTTCTTCTTGGAAAGGACAAAAMAATAAAWCCCAAAACAAGAAACCTTTCTTTTAAGATGATGCAAACGCATGTTTTCACAAACCCAAATGCATCCAAAAATACCTGCTTCAAACCCCAGCACTGATTCTTGGGTAAATCGCTGCTTTCAGCTCTGGAGGCCACCCCCAACGCACAAAGAATGTCATGTGGGTGGATAATAAAAGCATACATTGACGTGGGCATTTTTTATCCCTGTCTAACCCACCAGGGCAACTGACCCTGACAACTTCATCACATAATCATCCTAAAACTGGAAGCAGTGGCATCTCCAGTGACGGCAGAGCCTGTGGGTCACCTCCCCAACTGCTTTTCCTGCCAGCCCAACAGCAGAGAGCAGGAGCTCTCCCCTCCGATGCTCACAGCACAGGGGCACATGAAAACTGAACACATGGCTGCTAAAAATGCCTTAAAATCCTCCAAGAGAGCATCTTTTGGTCACACTCTGTCCATCCAAAACCTCACCCTGTGAAGTGCCGCCCATCATCAAGCCATTCCAGATGTCAAGCAGGGTGGCCCTGCTCATACACGGATGAACAGCATTTGATAGGGATAGCCCAGTGCCACCAGTGTCCCCTGAAACCTTGCCAGGTTCTGGKCACATCCCTGCGTGGACCCAGCATGAGCAGCTCCCTCCCTGCGGCCAAGCAGGAGGTTTTCCCAGAGAAGGGCAGTGCCCAGGGGGGATGGTCCCGTGGGAAGCTGTCCTGGCAGGACCGGCAGGCAGCAATCAGCTCTGGCACCGTCTCCCAGGCTTTTGGGGAGCAGCCAGCCTGCGGGAGGCAGGTTTAGGGTGTCGCCGGCCGGGACAAGGGYGCAGTGGCAGCACGTGAAGGGGACCCACGTGCGGGAGAGCACAGCCGGGTACCCTGAGCCCTCTTTGCAAGGCACTCGTGTCCCCAGCTCAGACTAAACCCAAATCCGTCCAGTTTTACTCTCCATGGCTGAAACGAGGAGGGTGACACGCAGTCCCCTTCCCTGCTGTGCCAGACTGCTGCGCACCCCAGCCCCGCTCGCACAAGGATGAGGATGAGGACGGACACGGGGTCATGAAGGCATGACTTGCAAGAAGCAGTTTCACCCCAAATCCGGCTCGCAGGCTGGGCTCGCTGCAGAGCTGCACCCATCTTCCTGGAGGGATCCAAAAAACGCCTCTCAGTACTCATCTCCGCCCCCACCGCCTGTCCCTACGCAACATCACCTCTCAYGGCCCCAGGGATGTGTCCCAGCCCTGCGGCACAGCCGGCCCCAAAACGCCACTGCCTGAGCAGCAGCACCGCTTGCTGGACACGGGAGAGCTCACAGCCCTGCCCTGCCCGGCAGCAGAAAAACATCATTACTGCAACTTCACAGCGACTGCGATGTGACCCAGCCCTTTTGGCTGCAGACAAATCCACGCTTGCTGTCTTTCACTCAATAGTGGGGCTGCGCACCAGAGTTTTGGTGGCCGCCACCCTGACAGGCATCGCTCCCATCACAGCATCCCCAACTACTCACACAACTGAKGTGAGGGGTACAAAAAATAAGGGCCAGGTCACAGCTGAGGTGTTCACTGTGAAGTGGGAACTGGTGGGATGAAGGGTCAGGAAAGGAGCTCATTCCCAAGGCAGCAGCRTGGGGAAACTGCAAGTTTCAGAGCTGATCTCATGCAGAAGAAAAAACAGGTTACACAGAGTGAAAATCAAAACATAATTTCTACTAAAACCAGGAGCTGCTCAGCTTCCAGCCTTCATAGTGGTGGAAACAGGCCACAAATTTAGTGTGGTTCTGCTCTAAGTAATAAAGAATTTTTAATTACTGATTCCTGARTTTGATGCAGGAATATTGAGCAATGACACCCCTGAGCCCAGGCAGMTGAAGGGCACGTACCCACCTACCCTGGCCCCTTGGGGACTGTCCCCTGCAGAGCCACAACTCCRTGCTGATAAACTGCACAGTGACTCAACAGGCCAAGGCTTCACCTGTCAGCATTGAAACCTACATTGTACAGCTTGCCCTGCACATGTGAACAAGGGAGAAGAGCCTAGGWGGAATTTTAAATAATGTGATTTTAAATAATGTGTTGTTTACTTGCTTACCATGAGGAGAAAAAAACCCAACCAAATGTCACATAGAATAAAAGAGGCTTTACTCATTATAATGCCTTTKCCCTGCTCACCTGTGTCTGGTACCAGGGGCCAACATGGGTGCACAGAGCCAGTGGTTTGGGGGAGCCCTCACACGCTGAGATATCTTCCCAGCACCCCAGACAGAGCACCACAGCCCTTGCTCACATTGCAGCAGGTGATGGCCATAGGACAGAAAAGCCCCAGGGCCAGCTCTTTGGAGTCATCAGCCAGATTTTCCACCCCATTGCGGGTTTGCCAAGGGGCAGGGACAGCCTTGGGGTGCCTGTAAATAGRGGGGGTGGGAACACACTCACCTTTTGCTTTCCCCCTCACCCAGCAGGCTCTGGCACCCCACACAAATATCCTGCCCTTTGCTCCCCACTCTGTCAGTCCAGCCCCAAATTGCAGAGCCTGACAAGCCCAGGAGAAAAAAAAACAGCAACACCTCAAACCACACTACAGTGGAGTTTGGTGGTTTTAATGGTGATTAAAGAAATCAWCAGGGTACATTTCATCTTTGAAATACAAGTGCAAAAAGGATACAGTATAATGTTTTCTGTACATTTCTTACAAAATATTAAAAATATTACATACATCCCATTCTGAAGTGGTACTTCACACCCTGCTGTGCCCATGCACCACGTGTAGCTTTTCCTTTTWATGTGCGGGACATGGAGCTAACGGAAAGCTCCAGCTGGAGTCTGGGCAGATGTTTTTAGGGCAGTGATAGGTAAATACAAAGGGTGAACACAGGAACCTTTCTGCCCAGCACGCCCAGGAGTGCCAACCCACCGCTGTGTCCCCGAGACAAGTGGGCAGCATCACCCTGCTGGCACTCACTGCTCTCAGCTGCTCTCCAGTGGGATACAGAAAATGCCTTTTCTTGCTGTGGCTCGGCGTTTTCCCTGTGCCTGGCAGCACCTACCCCTTCACTCCTTGWGTAAGGGTGCCCAGGCCTAGCCGTGGCAAACCCCACTCTTTTAACCACAGCACCTTCTTGAGAAGAAGTYGACCAGGCTATATGGTAAATAAATTAACCCCTCCTCCCCCCACACCCCCACGCCGCTGAGGCTGTGGGGCACAGGTCAGTACCCATCCTGGCAGTCATTGTCATCGTAGTCAGCCGCAGGTTTGTGGCGGAGGGCGCCCAGCCGCCGCTTGYGGGCCCCGCTCTCCAGGCTCTGCTGGGAGCTGTCATCCCCGTGGCTGCTGGACTCACGGGTGGCATCCTCCTGGGACTGGCTCTCTGTGTCATCGTCATCCTCCTGSGACTCGCTGTTGTCACTCTCTGTGGACCTGCTCTCCTCGCCTGTGTTGTCCTCTGGGCTGCTGTCATCCTCTGGGGACGTGCTCTGGCTCTCGGCTGATGTGCTCTGCACAGAGTCGTTCTCATCCTCCTCTGACTCCTCCACAGTGTCCTCTGTGGATGGGCTCTGGTTGTTGTCATCTTCCCTGGACTTGCTCAGGTCATGGTCTTCTTCCCTGGACTCACTGTCAGGTGTGGACAGCACACTCCTGTCCTCAGCAGAATCCCAGTCCTCCTGCCCTTCCCAGGTGTGCTCATTCAAGGTTCTCACCACTTCTGGGGACTCCCCTGGGTCTTCATCCGACTGCTCATGAGTGTCCTCTCTGGACTCGCTGTCCTCATCCTCCCTGGAGGGGCTGTCCTCCCCATCCCCATCCTCCCTGGACTGGCTGGAGCTTTTTTCCTCTGACTGGCTGTCGGTAGGCTCTTCTGACTGGCTGTTGTCCTCCACGGATGGGCTGTCTTCTCCAGARTCCTCCACCTCGGGGGACCTGCTGTCACCCTCCTCCCAGCGGTGGGAGCCAGCCCCCTGGGCACTGTCCCAGCTGCTCCCCAGGGCACGGGGGCCGGCGTGGCGCACCCTGTAGCTGCTGCTCGGGCCGTCAAAGACAGAGGGGTCATCCCCTTGCATGGCTTCGTCCTGGAAGTCATAGCTCTCCTCCTCCTGGCTGCTGCTGCTGGCCCCGCCGTGCCTGTAGGCGCGCCCAAAGCCGTAGCTCCTGTAGCGCCGGTGGTCTGCCCCCATGCTCTCGCTGCTGCTGCTGCTGCTGCTGTCACCGTGTCCCCTGCCAGCCCCGCCATCCCCAGGGCCGGCATCATGCTCGTATTCCCCCGCCCCATCGGTGCGGGTCACRTAGGTGGGGCCTTCGCCCCTCTCCTCTGCCCCGTTGGCGTCGAAGGTGTCATCCCCGCTGTCATCCTCCTCGTCCAGGAACCCGCCGCCGTGGGAGGGAAAACTCATGGTGCCGTAGTGGTCTCCGTTGTCACCATCATCAGTGTCACGTGCGTCCGCCTCCTGTATGGAGGTGACAAACAGAGGTGAGCGCTAAGGCTCGCGGGTCACAGGTCACTCACGGTGCCTGCAGGCAGAGCACAGCCTTGACCGGTGCCAGCTTTGGGGCCAGGGGAGCTTTCCCAGCAGAACAAAACATTCCTCCCTACTCACTCCCTCACTCACTCACTCACTCACTCACTCACTCACTCACTCACTCACTCACTCACCAGGAAACCAAGGTCATTCCCACTCTGGGTGCCCACGTCCTCGTGGTCCACCTGGTTCATGTGCTGAGCCTGTCCGACTCGGCCTCCCATGTCTTGGCCACTGAGCTCTCCCAGCTCCTCATCCACGGCATTCCCACCCGCCAGGTCCCTGGCAAGGGCATTTTCTCCCGTCTCCAGGCTGGCAGGAGGATGTCTGCCATCTCTGTCCTCTAGGTGGTTGCCCAGCTTGCTGATGACATCTTCATTTGCTGTGTCCTGGAGCCAAAACATGACACGGTGCTTTAGTTTATCAAACACCAACCACAGCACGTTTGCTGCTGCTGCTGCTGCTGCTGCACAACTCAGTCCTAGGCCATACAAGAGCTCAAGCCTTTTTTATTTCTTTAACCTCAGCCCTTCAGTTACTTCTGCTTATACAAAATTAAATGGTAGCCACCAACAAAAGGGTAGCCCAGAAAAGCCCAAACTGTGACGGTTCAGAGCACAGAAACTTCTTTTTCAGGGTCAACCAGCAGAAGGTATCAGGTGAACTGGGAATTTGCTCAGGGAGGCTGGTCAAAACAGGGTGAAACCAACCCAGCTTGAAAAGACTGAGCMCATGAGCAAAGCTCAAAGACCCCCAGAAGCAGCAGATCCCTCCCAGGTTCCTGGTCCAAGGATGCCCACCCAGGGCTGGCTCCCCATCCCAGACTTGCTCCCTGTGGGACAGGGGCACCCGTGGCTTACCTCCTGCAGGGTGCTGGAGTGGGTGGGTTCATGGCCAGGAACCTAAACACATYCAGGAGATATTTGATCAGTGGCCATTGTGTCTTGGCTGGGCAAAACCAGCAGGTTTGGGGTGGGACTGTCAGTCCAGRGGGTACTTACGGGGTGAGCACAGGCCACAGCCCAGAGGAGCAGCAGCAGGAACGCAGCCCTCATGTCAGTCGTGGTTCCCGTGGCTGCAACAAGGAATGAAATGTTTGCACACTAGAGCAAAGCACTTGCATGTGCATCTGGCTGTAACTTGGTTCCACAGAGCCTGCCCAAATGATACAGCCTGGCCATCCTGCACATGGTAACTCATGGCATGTCATCAAACAAGCCAAGAATTTGTCCTTGTGCCAYCTCCTGGCACCRCCTGCGCAGAAACCTCCCTTTAGTTTGGGATTTGAAATACCCAGCTGTTCTCTGGCAGATTTTTTTTTTTTTGTCTAAACATCATTAAAGAGCAAGAAGGTCTCCTGAATTTCCTGTTCCTGTAGTAAAATCACCCAGCACCCAGCTGAGCTCAGTGGTTGTGGCAGGAGCCTGCACCTCAGATGGGCAGCACTGCAGCCCCACCTGGAGTGGTCCCCACAGCCCCATAAGGTCTCTCAGCATTCCAAAGCAGAGCATCCCAATGAGATAATCCCACAGAGAGCTGCATCTCCAGAGCCTGCTGGGTTAGCACCCCAGTGGCACTGCTGTCCCCCACAGATAAAGCAGTGGGGGCTTTCCTCCAGCTCTGCTCCCATTTCCAAGCATTTTCTTTAAGCAGCCCAGCACTTCATCCCTATGGGATACACCAACCACACGGAACATCCCCCTGCTCCCAAAACACACCAGAACAAGCACAGTCCTGATTTCTTCCCTGACAAARCAACACTTACATCCCAGCTGACAGCTCTCCTTCTTTCAACCAAAACGYGAGGAAAATCAAGCCCTACTCCCAAACCTTCCCATTTTCACTCCAGGCAATGCCAGATCAGCCCAAAAAACCTTTACCTCAAGGTGTGATGCAAGCCCGTGTCTCCTCCCGTGCTGGGGATGGGATGAGCTGGCTGTCTGTGTTGGGATGCTCCGATGTGTCCCAGCGTGGCCAGGCGGGCATTTAACCWCTGGCCAGTGCCAGCCCCGGGCCGGGGACAGCCAATGGCACCGCCGGGCAGCGCTGCTGCGCCTGGAGGTGTCACCGGGAACTGGCGTCCCACGCTTCCTCTGGCCCCCGCCAGGACAGCAGCCCTAAAAAAGCTCCTTGTGGTCGCRGGATGACGAGACGGGCTGGCAGTTAATGACGGACTGCGCCGGCCCTGTGTTTTGGCTGCTAAATTTATCCCATTCACACACTTCCCGCCATGACAAACAACTACGGCATCACCCACGCCGAGCACTGCGCCCTGTCCCAGGGATGGCACCTCCTAACCCGTGCACTTGGCAGCGTTTGTGCCATGGGCAGGGGCTCTGAAACCCACAAGGGACCCTTTCCCTGCCTTGTCTCAGCCTTGTCCTGTGCCTTGGGGCAGGAGCACAAAACCACGCTAGGAAGAGAAGAATTGTCTTATTTTCATGTCCACACAGGTGCTCGTGCAAGGGAGAAGGGAAATACTGAATGRAGGTGTGTAGGGAGCATCCCACCCTCGGCATGGAGTGAGTGTAACATCCCAGTGCTCCTTCCAGCTGCTGGACAGGGAGGGGATGAAACCTCTGCTCCTGAAAACACAGGAAACAACAGGTGCCCAGGGGACAAGGACAGGGCTGCAGYTTTGCAGGTGTTCACAGGAGATGCTGGCATTGTGAAATGAGAGACTGAAGGAAACTTGGGCAGGGCCAGGATTGAGGCAGGGCTCTGTGAACTACAGGATATCTGTATTCAGCCAGGCTGTAGAAAACCAGAAGAGTTTTCTCATGCTCATGACAAAATGCCTCATGCTGGACAGGGCATCTTTTGAAACCAGACATGTCAGTCTGCTGCTGGGTGTAATTTCATCCTCACAATCTCCTGCTGTTTCCATCCCTCATCACCAGCCCATGGATCGTGGGTGTCTGCCCTGTGAGGACTGCAAGGTGGAGTGTGATAAGTGTCATTTTTCTCCTTCCTCCTGCCCCGATGCAGGGAGCCCCATTACCACCCCAGCCCCACTGCTGTCCCCATGGCCCCTTGGCCTCGAGGGGGTCCCCATCAAGCCACTCTCTCTCTTGCCCATACCTTTGGCAGATGTTTTCCCTCTTCTTCCCTGCCCAACCCCTGCTGCAGATACCGTGGGATGTATTTTCCTTTTGACCTGCRACAAAATTACACCCCTGTCCCCAGCCAGATATGAGTTCATGTTGCCAGCCTTTTTTAGGCACCTCCAACAATTACCATGTTTTGTTGTATTTTTTTTGTAATGTCAAACCTGCATTTAACTCAGCCCCCAAAGATCTGGTGCTGCCTCACGTCCAGATGCTGTGATGCAAGAAGGAGATAAACACCAAGCTCTGCCTGCCTGGCTCTTTTATGACACAGGCCACCCATTGCCCCACCAGTCACCACCCCAAGGTCACTTCCCTCCTTTCCAGTGGCSCTGAAACACCCACAGCACCAACACACCCAACAGTGCTCACTGCCAGCACCCCAACCTGGCCCCACATCCCTGTAATCTCCAGTAGCCCTGGGTCAAACAACGAGGTCTGTCCCCCAAATCYCTTCCAGAGATCATCCTACAGCATTAGCCAGACTGCCCAAGCAGATCTGCCTGTGTTTGGCAAGGAAAGGAAACCTCAGCCCACATACTGTAACCTTATAAAGAAAAAAAAAWAATATTAAGGATTGTTGTTGTTACATCAGAGGTGAGAAATGGATTGAGGGTGGGAGCAGCAGCTGTCTGATGGGCGTTTTAAATGCCACTGGGCATTTTCCCAAGTYCTACTCAGAGATGCTCAGTCCCTGGAAGGAAGATGGGAAAACCTGGCCAGGCTAAAGCTGGCACCCTCAGGCTACCAGGGAGGAGGTGGCCACGTCAGAAACAAGAAGACTGGCAGAGATGGTAAAAGATGCAGGAATATCTCTTCTCTGTTTGACAGTCTGGACTGCCTGGTGTTCATGAGAACAGAGAAAGAAATGAGTGCAGACAGCAGGAGAGATAAGGAAATCAAAGTGAAAAGCTGGCACTGCAGAGAGCCAGCTGACAGAGGAGGAACATAACAGCTGCTCTCCTCCACTGATGGAAACAGCTCAGCACCAAAAACTCAAGAAATTGATATTGTTCAAAAAACCCACCATTCTCTCTTTTTTTTTTTTTTTCCAGACCAGAAGATTTTCGTAGTATTAATGTTGCTGGTGCACTTCTCTTCTGAATAGACCTGTCGGTTTTGACAGCAGCATCAAAAGGAAAAGGACCAGTGAATGAACTGGAGAACAGCAGAGACTGGGGTGAGAGCAGAACCCAAGGCACGTGTCCTCAGCACTCATCCAAACAYTCAATGCCAGCTCCTAGCTTAGGATTCAAATCCAAACCCCTTTGCCTCCTGTTTTGTTTTTTTGGTTTTTTGTTTTTTCATGTATTACAGTGCAGTGGTTTCATTTTGTTACCTGAGTAAATAAATATTGTCTGTGTTTCTCAGCATTAGTGTGACACACAGCCCCATAGCTAATGATAACATTTCAATATGATAACATTTCAGGTGTTGGAAGAGCAGCACTGATATTCCAGCTCTGCCTGGGAGCAAGCCTCAAAGCTACAAATGCTGTGGTATGGAATTACCAGAGTGCTTGTGGAGCCATGTAGAGGTTTGGTTCCTGACAAGCCTCTAAAATTTGCTATTTCTCACTGGCAAAAACATCTCAGAGGAGTCTGAGTCCTGGGGCCCTGAATTGCAGACACATACAGGGCATCTGATAATGTCAGACTTCTGCACAAGTGAACAGGCCTCTGCCCTGACAGCTCAGGGGTGGCATCACTAACTCACCCTTCTGTGTCCACCACAGAGTTTCCTTTACAGCCAGGGAAAACAGGCACTTCTAAGGCACCAATCACTTGCCCTATTTCAGGTACCTATTTCAGGCGTCACAGACTGTTTGGAGTCTCTGTGACACTGTTGAAGGGAGGTGCTGATCTTATCCTACCAACAAGGAGCACCGTGCCCTTTCCCAAAACACAGGCAAGTTGAGCTCCCAAAATCCCTCACTGCCCACCTCCTGTGCCAGCCCCASACTCCAAGTGCTTCTATTTCCAGCATTTTTCTGCCACCCTCCTCTGAGCAGTGGGCTCCAGGAAAACCAGCACCTTGCTCCAATGGTCTGTTGGGATGAAGGCTCTCAGGTGTTGTACCTGCTCCGTGCCACTTTTGCCAAAGCAAAATACACGGAGCAATATCTGCCATCCCCACTGTCCCATCACAGCTGGAGCTCATGGCTGGATAGGCATTTTGTGCCATCCCTGCCAGATGTGTCTGTTTGGATTATCAGGTCCTATAAATCCATATTCATCAGCCAGCGTGGCTGAATTTACTCATCTGAGGCTGTGACTTCATCAGATGTGGATAWGGATGTCTCATTTCTGCCTGGCCGCTGTCAGATCCAGCACATCTTCCTGCTCAGAGGCTCTGCTGCATCTCCCTGCCCTCGGCTCAGCTCTGTCCCAGGTCGGGGACCCCTCAATTTTGACAATTCTGGCAACAACTCCAGTGCCACTGGGCTGTCAGTAGTCGGCACTGACAGCGGTAATCATGGAGACGCCAGCGGGTAATTACAGCTCCTAAAATCTCATTCGGAGCAGAGGATCTTTTTACAATCACTTCCTGCTCACAATTCAGCCCCTCGGGAGCTGGCAGCAGTAAGTATTCGTCAGTCACAAGCTGGAAGGGGAACAATAACACAGCCTTCACCTGAAAAGCTCCCGGCAGCTCCCACCCTGCAGAGATCTGGAAAGCCGCACGGTGTCGGTGCTCTCAGAGAGGAAAATCGAGCAGCGATCAGTGCCAGCCTTGCCCTCCATCAGTGGGTGACACAGGGCAGGTCASGGGTCTGTCTCCTGAGTCACAGCACCCCGATTTATTGTTGGAGGCGGGAATCGTCAGGAGGACACGACTGATGGAAATGTTTGCATGGAACGGGCACTGCGGGAATGCAAAGGGAGGCACARGGTGGGCACAGAGCGGGCACGGAGGTCAGGACAGCGATGGAGATGTGTGTGAGGAGTGCCAGACCCTCCTGGAGAGCG